GAAAAATATCATCATTTTACAAAATAGTCCAAAACATGAAAATATGAGATACTTAAATTTTGATGTTTTAACACAAACCAACTTTTGAAACTTTGTGAAATATTTTTATAGACTTAGTAAAACATGTATAAACTAATATTGAAGTCTACAAACTAAGAATATAATATTTTCACAAAATTGTATATTTTATGCAATAAGTACTAAAACACAATAGAGTATGTAATATCATAAAAACCAAAACACATGTATGTATATATAACTATATATATGCATAGAAACCAAAACTTGTGTATATATATATAACTATATATATATGAAGAAACCAATAAAATGTGTGTGTATTATATTGAGCTTAGAGTATCTAACACACATAATATAACACTTAAACTAAAGTTACCCAAGCTTGATCTTGATCTTCATTGAGCTCAACTTGGTACACGTGCGGATGAAGCTTGAACTTGATCTTTAACTTTGAGTTGCAAGGCTTCACCGACATTCCGCCAACCTCCTTTGGATATGATCGTTGAAGCTCTATTCCATCCATCCTCCAACTCGTTGTTTGTCTATAATAAATAGAAATATACCAACACTAGACAAACAACATTAGTGGTAAATTGTTTGTTAAACATCATCAAAACAAAGAGGCCAACACTCGCAACTAGTCTAATTGGGTGGCGCCTCTTAACCCTTGTTCTTCCTCTTAATTCAGAGACAATGATAGCTGCTTGAGGCATTAAGACAGACACCTCCTTGGTACTAAAAGCCCCCCTCGACTTCTTATAGGGCCTAGCGGTGGAGCTCGCCCCCTCGATCCCTGTATTCCTCTTGCGATTTTCCGCTGACAGAGGAACGGGGCTCACCCTTGTCTGGAAGCCAATAGAAGATAAGATCATAGGCATGCCCGCCGTCGGGAGAGACACATCAACAAATAGAGCATCACTCTCTCGTGGCCCAGCATAAGAACGTATCTTTTCCATATCTGTCATCTTGGAGTCACTAAGGGTAACTGGCCGTAAAGCATCTTCATTCACCACCGATCAGTCTAAGCAGGCAAAGACGTTGTCGCTGCCATAGACCCACACGAATTGCCTCTTCCAGTCCTCATCCAGCTCCAAAGAATCGGAAACAAGCTGGAACTCACCATGATAGTGAAAAGAGTAATGTGGGTCCTTCTCAATCGACCCCATGCTGATCAAATATCCAAGCAATCTCAAGCTCGGTTGGACTCCAATACGATGGCAAATAATGATAAAAGCCACCAGAACTCCTACTACATTCGGATAGAGTTGGGAAGGGGAGATTTTTAGAGCGGCGTTCACCTCCTTAATGAAAGAGTGCAAGGGCAGCTGTAAACCATGCTCCAAGTGGACCAAGTATAGCGGCACTCGACCCTCGCCATGGCAATACATTGGCTCGGTCATCTCTGACGCCGTCAATGTGAGAGTCCGAGGGATAATGTATTTATCATATAATCTCACCAGATTGTCCATATGGACCTTCGAGTGGATAAGGAAAAGAGTAGTGAGTTTCTCCTCACTACGGCCAGAGTTTGAAGCTTGGGAAGCCATGGAAGATTTTTTTCTTAGAAAAAGCTTGGAGGAATATCAAAAAAAAATTCAGAGCAAAGGTTCGTAAAAGAACTATCTTACCATCAAAGAGCCATTTATAAGTGTTTAAAGAAGAGTATTGAGGGATTTTAAAAGATGCGGCGATTTTCGAAGCAACCAGGCCAGATTCACATCGGAATCTAAAGCGGTTTTACTCAAAACACGAAGCGTCACCCTCATTTAATGCCCCATGTCCTAATACTCAAAAAGTGGAAGATTCTCCCTTCTATCCATGACGCATCATCTCTCAAAAAGATGATCCAGATCCTCTGGTGACGTCAGCCACGAATAGCGGAGTTAACAATGGGTGTCCAATCAGGATAAGCCACATCTCTAAGACAAGAACTTCTCAGTTTCTTGTCCTTAGCAGGCCTACATTAATCAGAGCATATCTTATTTTCTCTCAGAGTCGACTAAAAGCCAACTCTGATTGAAAGGAGCCAACTGTTATGGTGTTCACTCACCCAAGATACGGATATTGATAAAATGATATGATAAGAGTCCTAAACGAAATAAGCTCAACCATTTGGCCGACTCCCGTAGTCATCTCTCGGCCTTAGGAGAAAGAAAGCCCTAGTCAACTCTCAAGAGTTCAAAGCACAATGACTCCTCAGTCGAATAACAAGTCATTGGCTCTTTCAAGGTAAGCCAAATGCCCAACATATGGTCGAATCCTCTAGTACAACTCGACCATCATAGCTAAATTACAAGACGTTGGTACCTTATCAAGGATAATTCCAAGACACAATTATAGAGACCTCGGCCCTACCAACTCATTAAGCCGACACTTTGGTGTCGACACAAGAGGTGATGCTAGCCGATACGAGAGATCCTGACCTCCCAGACTAGTCGACATCTTTATATCGACTTAAGAGATGGTTATTAGCTGAGATAAGATGACTTTTCAACCAGTCAGACAGGTCGACACTCCTAAGTCAATGCTAAAGGAGGTGTCGATCGATCCTATTATCAAGAACGACCCTATATAGGGCACTCGATCACTCAATGGGTATTTCTTAGAAATAACTATAGGGACATTCTCTGCTGTCGACTAAGTTGAAAACTCGGCCCCAGCCTCAAGCCTCTCCCCCAGAGCACATGTTGACATCTCAGTCCACCTGGGACAAGCCTTATCCATATTTTGGTCTGATAAGTCTCCATGACTTGTCAGCTCAATCACTTTCTAGAAAATACGGAGATACTATCTCCCATAAAGAACTGACTTCCCCTCCAGTCGCCAGTCGACATCTGTAAAGAGATGGACGACTCAGTATGCTCACGTGACTTCTGCCACAACTCATAATCACTTCCCGGATATCACGGAGACACCATCTCCCAGGCTGAAATGACTTCATCTCCAGTCTCTAGCTGATACCTGTAAAGTAAGGGATGACTCACCTTCCAGCTCATACTTAGTCGCTGCCATTCTGCATAGCTGAGATGAGCAATCTGTGATGGAGATCCAGTATATAGATGGATGTTATTCACCAAGAAAGAGGGGGAGAGGGTAGAAAAATAATAAAAATATTCCTCGACCTAATTTGAGAGAGGGTCATCTCTATTGCACATAGCATAAGAACAAATAGTTCTAAACTCCACTCAAGCCCACGTTCATCAACTGACTTGGTCGTCGGAGGAACCACGGGGGAACCGGTCCCCGTCCTCTCACAAGTTCTTTCTATCCATATAGTGCGAACATCAAGCCCTCGTTCAAGAACTAGGCATAAAGTCGGAGAAGGGAACGGGCCATCCATCATCCTTCATCACCCCGCAACCATCCTCTTCTGGATTAATTGGTCGTTTTATATCAAGCATCAACAAAAGTAATCTTGTGACTGTAAGCGAATGTTGTGGAGCTGATCTTTAAGTGAGGACTTGTTCAATGGTTGAATTCAAGATAGGGAATGGAAGCGAGTTGGTTGGAGCAGTTGGCAATCCGCAATCGAGGACGAGCTTGAATTGTTTGAGCTTGTTGGCCAAGGAGTGGAGGGACAACCAGTGAACTTGATGTCACGTGCGAGCTTCATGGTGAAGGCTTTTGTGGAAGAAGTGGAGGAGTGGTAGGAGGAAGAACATAGAGCTCAATCAGGAGGAGGAAAGGGATTCAAATGGTAAGTTGGAGAGCTATGGAGGAGACCGGTGATTAACAGATTGGTGAAAAGTAGTTTGAAAAGGAGCAGAGAGTAGAAGAGAGAATGAATGAGAGGGTAATATGGGGATGTTGAGTTTTTAATATGTATGTAATGTATACTTATACGTATTATGAAGACCTGGGTT